CCCCATCTATGGGATGTTCAAAAAGCCAGGGAAGATTTAAATGCATTTTTTCCTTACATTGTATAATGCATATCAGGACAACTTTCTTCTTTGATCAATTATTTTTGTATATTTTCTAGATGAAAAAGAAGAAGGAATATTAGGGAGCATACTTCTTCCAAGCTTTCAGATAGCCATGCTTTCTTCTGAAGATCATATCAACCGCAAATATGCATTTAAGGTGAGAATATTCTTCAACCCCAGATTTGTGGTGTTTAATTTTTCAGTGGAGTATAATTGTGAACACATAAATTGTAGATTACAGAAGGGGCCCCAGAAAAGTTTCCGAACAGTCCTAAATATGTGCACACAGACTTTCTGTTCCTTGTATTGCTAAGTCAGAGTGTGTTTGCTTTCCATTCTAACCAACTAAGGAATATGATTTATTTTATTTTATTTATTGCAATATTCCTGAAACTTCAGCACAAGAATTTTGTAGATTTCTGAGGAAATAGTTGCATTTCACACCACAATTTGTTTAACAACTGTTTATTCAATAAGACACAATTGGTAGGATGTGTAACATGTTAAACCAAAATCAAGCCACATTTCAGCGTAGCACAACTTGTGAACATTGCCTTTGTATGTCTTTAGTATCTGTCAGAACTTTACCGGTTATCATGTCTTTGCAACCTAGTTATCTTCCACTTCCTGGTCCATACAGCTTCCCTATCCAATCTGCAAGTTCTTTTTAATGAAGTTACTCTCTTCCCACAAGCATAACTTCTGAAGCTGTTAAACCCTGGATAAATCTTCCTGTCAGCAACTGACTGAAGGCTATTAGAATAGTTCAGACATTCAAATGAAAGTAGCTTAACACTGTAGCATTAGGCTGGTGTCTTCCCCACATCTGGTCTTCTCTCATTAGCATTTTCTTGATATCTGTTTTACAAGGTATATTTTCTTCAATGTATGCATAATTAATTGAAGCTCTTTTTCTATAAAATGTACCTGACCTTTTACATTTTGTTTCTTGGATTTGAACTACTTTGGGCTCTTCTTGGCGATGAGTAAGCTAAATCACGCTTCGTATTTTAATGGGTGAGTATATATTTGCAACTTCCTATTTTTTTTTTTCCCTGATCCTGGATATCTCAGCTAATCCATTTCTATAATCTGTGTGCACCAGATGCCAGCAGCAAATATTTATTCTATAATTCATAGAAATCATTTAGAAACTCAGCAGGGGCTCTGAACAACAACAAGCCTTCCAAATTTAATAGTAATTTGCTTTTCCTCTAGTATAATTGCCTCAGAAGATGAGCATGATGATGAATAGCATTGTATTAGTTACAGTGGGATGAGTTTCTAGCAGCTGCTTGCATAAATCTTAAAACCGATAAATTACTGATTAAAGAAACCAGTAATGGTCTTTGATTTTCCTCCCACCCTTTCTTTTCTATCTTACAGAATGTTGTACCTTTCTCCCCACAAAATGACCGTGTCATTTCCAATCAGGCAGCTCATCCAAACATGAGGACCTATTATTTCTGCACAGATACAGGGAAGGAAATGGAGTTATGGATGAAAGCCATGATAGATGCAGCTCTTGTACAGACAGAGCCTGTGAAAAGGTAATGTAAGTTGACAGCCCCATAGAATCAGCCAGTTACAGTTCCGGCCTTGATTACATATCGTGAGGAGATGTGTTCTGAAATATGAATAAAACCAACCCTGATATTTATTAGCTTTCTGAAGATCTTAGAAAGTAACATCAAAGCTTCAAACTGTCTCTCTGTTTCCCTGGATGTGCATCTTAAGGTTACAGGATGATGCAAACGATGTGTCATCTCCCAAGGCTTTCTATCAAGGTTCAGTTGTTTTTAGAAGACTCATGTTGGTGCAGAGGCATTTTTTAGGAACTGGGAAGCAGACAAATATATGAACAATAAAGGTACTCTGTTTGCAGCTTGTATGCCACTAAGGTTTGTTCCATTTTGTCAGTAATGGGATGAAGAATTGTAGAGGTGATAAGTGGATTTTAATGGCCTGTTGCCCTATTTTATCGAATAGTTTTATATAGCAATAATTCCTTACAATACAGTGGTACAGAGCTAAGGTGACTTTCCCTTGACAACTGAGGCTATAATTCATCCATACTATTGTTCTCATGAGTTTAGCAGGCAGTATGTGAAAACTTATGTTGGCCTAGATTGTTCACATTTCTAGCTTCTGCTTACCCAATTGCAAAGTTACTCAGGACAGACAAATAATAGACTAAAACTAGATATTGTACTCAGCTTAAATAAAGATAGTTTATTATATATTATTATATATTTAAGGTTTCCAGGCCCCAAATAAGCCAAAGCAAAAGTTCTGTTCCAAAACAAATTAGAAGTTTAATATACTTTGAATAGGATATACTTTCCCTGATTTGATTCTTGGCTGCTTCTGTTAAAAATATGTGTTTATTTTCTGCTATTTATAGTTAATTGTTAACCTTGATAATGTTTTAGGAAAAGATTCGTGGCCCAAGAATGAAGTTTAACAAAGTTATAAATTTAGTTTTGTTCTGGGGCCTGAGAATTGGAACATGTCAACTGCAAAAAAAACCCTGAAACCCTCTTTTCTTCTTCCCATTTACTGATAACTTTATTATCAGTTATTATTTGCAATAATAATTGAAAAAAGTGATGCTTTTCAAATTGGCCGTGGATATTTTCATTTCCATTCTGAAAGTTGAAAAACCCTAAATAGTCATATTCTAAGCTATTTTAGAGGATGACTGATACCTAAAGTATAAAAGAGAGGGAACTGAAACTTGCCCCTTTTTATTCTTATACTTTTCAGGCCTAAAATAGCCATTTGATATCTGAAAAATTGCTAGGTATTACTGTAGAATAAAGAGAGAAAGTATTATGCTTTTCATATCGAACCAGTTAACTCATAATTTCTATTCTAAATCTGTTTCTTTGTATGGGTCTGAATATTACAACATATTTCTCTAGACCTCTTTCCTAATGAAGAGCTATAATCTACATTTTCCCAAAGTTATTTTAACTTAGAATCTTAGTTATAAATATTCCCACATCTAGTGATTGCGTATATGTGTGTATATTGGTTGGTTTTCTTCATTTTGGTTATTTTACTGTAAACTGCCCAGAGTTGCTCTGCAGTGAGATGGCAGTGACCAATTTGGAAAATAAATAAATAAATAAATAAATAAATAAATAAATAAATAGGTGCAGGTTTAACAACGATCAAAGAGGTTTATTGAGAATAAGTAATGCAAATTGTTTTGAATAAGCAATATCCCATTTAAACTTGACATTCAAACACTGAAATAAGACTTCATTTGGCTATATTCCTGATTATATCTCTGTTATAATTTAGGTAATTTGAAATATTCACATAATAAAATCTAGTTTTTCCATTTAAAAAGTTCTCTTTTTTGCATTGCAGCTATTTTCAGTTTTATGCTAAGAAATTCATTAGTGATGGCATATTATCCTAGTTTTTGCAGTGGAACATATAATATATCAGATATCATACAGTGTTGGTATAATATGCTACTAAACATTGCTTTTGACCAACAGTGAAATTACCTTTATCTTATTACTGGTAGTCCTTGCTATCCAATCATTCATTCAGCAACCGTTCAAAATTACAACGGCACTGAAAAAATGGACTTACAACCCATGCCCGAAGAAATGGCCATTGCAGCACCCCCGCAGTCAACATGATAAAAATTTGGGCACTTGGCAGCCCGACCACACTTACAACCACAGGGGCCTGCCACTCCCCCCACCTATCCCCCCCGCATCTATGCCCTTTTCGCCACCCTGCACAGCAACATTTGGTGGCAGCACCAGGGCTGGGGCTGAAGTAGAAGCCCAAGGCCTTCAGCAGTCTCAGCCCGCTGCCACTGAGTTCCCGTCCTCCCATTCCTTCATCTTGCCTCTTTTTCCTTCATTAAACCTGGTGTCCCCTCTTCCCATGCCTTCTGGAAGCCATGCCTCTCCTTCTCTTCCTGGAGCTTCCCATTCTGTGAAACCAGAAGGTTTCCAAAGGATTGCAAGTATGGGACTTTTGAAGTCCCATTCTTGTGATCCTTCAGAACCCTTCTGGTCTTACCCAGGTCTCGCAGGTGAGGAATGGGGGGATGGGAATGGCAAGAGGGAATGGCGTGAGCTGGCAAAGGCCTGCGGTGTGAGGCATGAGGCGGTATTTGTCAGTCGCAGCAGCTGCTCTTATGTCGGGGGGAAAGGACGGAGGCCGACGGGGGCGGGCTAGGGAGGGAGGGTGGTGGGAGAGGCGCATGGGC